GAGTAGCTGGGACTACAGGCCCCCACCACAACGTCTGGCTGTTTTTCTGTTGCAGTTTGGCCAGGGCTGAGTTTGAACCTGCCACCCTTGGTATATGGGGACAGCACCCTACCCATTGAGCCACAGGTGCCACCCAATCACAGGTAACTTTAATGAACTGTATTAACTGAACTATGCCACGTATCATCTTTTGTATTATTAAAGCTATTGTTATATATTATTTTCATTAACAAACCATCCCATGACAATGGATCATGTAGAGAAGAACGTTAAGAAAAGAAAATATAGTGAGGATTTTACAGTATGGTTTTACCTCAATAATTACAGCAGGTATTGAAAAACTGCAATGTGTTATTTGTTATGAAGTCTATTACCTAAATCTATGAAGCTGAACAAACTAAAATGCCATTTTGATAACAAGCATCCCAGCTTTGCTGGTAAGGATACCAACTACTTTAGAAGAAAAGTTGATGGACTCAAGAAAGCCAGACTTGACACTGGTGGCAAGTACCACAAACAAAACGTAGCAGCCATTGAAGCTTCATATTTGATGGCACTCAGAATCACCAGAGCTATGAAACCTCACACCATTGCTGAGAATTTACCGCTGCCAGCAGCCAAAGACATTGTTCAAGTTATAATCAGAGATGAATTTTTTACAAAATTGAGTGCAATTTCCTTATCTAAAGACACTGTCCACAGAAGAATAGATGACATGTCTGCTGATATTCTTGATCGGGTAATCCAGGATATTAAATCTACTCCACTTCCAATATTTAGTGTCCAGCTTGATGAATCTACAAACATTGCAAACTGTTCACAGTTACTGGTTTATGCAACGTATGTTAATGATGGCGACTTTAAAGATGAATTTCTTTTTTGCAAACCTCTTGAAACAACTACTGCACGTGATGTATTTGACACAGTTGGTTCATTTCTGAAAGAGAATAAGTCTCTTGGGAAAAGGTTTGTGATATTTGCACAGATGGTGCTCCAGCTATGCTAGGATGTTGATCTGGATTTCTTTTTTTTTTTTTTTTAAAGCAAAAGAGTGTCTTTATTGCAAGCATATGCTGGGATCACTCCACTGGACAGCATAGCTGCGCAGGGGCGACCCAGTTACAGAGGCGAAAGCAGTTTTTATACATTACAGGGAGGACAGCAACTGGGTGATTGGTTCTTTTTTTTTTTAATCTGGATTTCAACATTTGGTACTGAATGAGTCACCAAAAGTCATCGGAACTCACTGTATGATTCATTGGCAAATATTAGCAACAAAGATGCTGCCACAAGAGTTATAAGAAGTAATGAAAAGCGTCATAAGTTCTGTCAATTTTGTAAAGGCGAGCACTTTGGCTCAGCACCTGGCTCAAGTGGCTAAGGCACCAACCACATACACCTGAGCTGTCGGGTTTGAATCCAGCCCAGGGCCCACCATAACAACAATGACGGCTGCAACCACAAAATAGCCGAGCACTGTGGCAGGCTCCTGGAGTCCCAGCTATTTGGGAAGCTGAGGCAGGAGAATCACTTGAGCCCAGGAGTTAGAGGTTGCTGTGAGCTGTGATGCCACACAGCTTGAGGTTCTGTATTAAAAAAAAAAAAAAAAGCGAACACTTTAAGCAGTCGATATTTTCGCAACTGTGAAATGAGTTGGATACACTGAACAATGCTCTGCTATTTCACACTGAAATGAGATCGTTGTCGAGAGGAAAAGTTTTAAAACGTGTTTTTGAGCTTTTTGAACTCGAAATGTTTTTTAATCAGAAAGCAAGACTGCAGTTCAAAGCACTTTTTAGCAATAAAAGTGAACTGCAGAAAATAGCTTACTTAGTTGACATCTTTGCCATCTTGAATGAGTTAAATTTATCACTGCAAGGACCAAATGCAACATGCCTCAATTTGTCTGAAAAGATCCGATCATTCCTAATGAAACTTCAGCTTTGGCAAAAAAAAAAAATTGGATGAAAATAAAATTTACATGTCACCTACCTTATCTGCTTTCTTTGAGGAACGTGACATTGAACCAAAGTATTACAATGATAATTTCTGTGAAAGAACACTTGCACATGCTTGCAGATGAAATTTCATTGTACTTTCCAAATCTACCTGACACCCCATTTGCACTTGCCAGAAGCTCATTCATAATCAAAGTTGAAGATGTTCCTGAGACAGCACAAGAGGAGTTCATTGAACTTATTAACAGCGAGAACAATGAGAACTGATTTCTCTACAGTGCCAGTTACAAAATTCTGGATCAAGTGTTTGCAGTCTATCATATTCTGTCTGAGACTGTGTTGCGCCTTCTTCTTCCATTTCCAACAACATATCTTTGTGAAACAGGGTTTTCCAGCTTGTTGGTTATCAAGTCCAAATAAGTAGACTTTTTGTGAAAGATGATCTTCATTGTGCTCTTGCAAAGACTGCCTGGAGAATTTCTGATCCGATGAGAAAGAAGCAATCTCAACCTTTCACTGACGTTGGCTTTTTACCCATACTATCGCAAAACGTAGCACTGTAGTTTACTGTTGTTATAGTAAGACTGCTACCCATGCTACACCATGCTTCAAGACAAAATTTCATTTATTTGTAATTAGAAATAAATATTTCACAACATATAATTACATGGTTGTTGTGATTAATCACTATGCTTTAATTATGTTTGATATATAACAATGAAAATATATCCTACATATCAGATATTTACATTACGATTCATAACAGTAGCAAAATTACAGTTATAAAGTAGCAACAAAACTAATTTTATGGTTGGGGGGTCACCACAACATAAGGAACTGTATTAAAGGTTCATAGCATTAGGAAGGTTGAGAACAACTGGTCTAGACCTATAGAAACTGAAAAGGGACAATATCATCAGGAATCAAAGGAACAAAATAATGAACACTAACTTTGACCACACTGTTCATTATACAATGACTTCACTAATAACTGTCTAAAATGTAAAATATGAGAACCCCAACAACAACAATAACCAGAAAGCTAGACTGGCTGCCTTGTGTAAGATAACATGGACGAGACACAGACATCCCTTTACTTGAAACATTGGGGAGGGGCCCAGGTGCTCATCCCAGGAAAGACATAAATCCTCCTTAGAGAGGCTCACATCTAAGAAGTCAAAGAGGGCTAAGGTCTTTGGGTTGGTTCCAGGAACCCTAAAGCCCCAGACCAGACTCTCTAACTGGAAATGGTAGACATACAAGAATTTCATGGCAGGACTTAGATATGAGGGATGCCCTATATTCTTCTGAGAAAGAAAATTTAAAAATTATTTACCCCAAAAAGGCAATTAACTGGCTCGGAATCCATAGCTCAGTGGTTAGGGCACTGGCCACATACACTGGGGCTGGTGGGTTCATCCTGCTAATCACCTACAACAACAACTACAACAAAAAATAGCCAGGCATTGTCGTGGGTGGCTATAGTCCCAGCTACTTGGGAGACTGAGGCAAGAGAACCACTTAAGCCCAAGAGCTAGAGATTGCTGTGAGCTATGACACCATGGCACTCTACTGAGGGTGACATAGTGAGATTCTATCTCAAAAAAAAAACTGCTTTTAACAGTTTTTAACCCCTTTCTGGGTTCTCAGAGACTTGACCTCTCTGTGTGTCCAAGCTTTTCTATATTCCTAATCAAGCCCCATTGCAGGGCCATGTGAATAGAAGCCAAACAATCTATTACCAAAATAGAACTGAACATAAGTCATACATCTTCATACTTAGAAAGTACAACAGGGGAAACTGAGACCCAGATGTCCTTTGATACCTTAGAAAACAGACCCATGGAGGTTTCAATGTCTTAGAGTGAATAGATGTAGAGCAGCTTTTAGCACACAGATATGCTGCCTTCCAAATCAGTCTCTTCTGACCCAACCTCTTTGCCCCTTCAAACACATCCCAGAGATCTAAAGAGTCTTGGGACCGAGACATTTAAAGGCTTTATGCCTTGAGCCTCAGAGCTCTGGGAATTGCTCTATGACTGAAATCTCAAGTGTGCTCGCAAAGCTGTGATCCTATTCCCCCAGATATTCTAGGGCTGACACTGAGGCTGTTTCTGCTGAGGACCCCACCAGACAACACAGGCCTTACCTGAGCAAACCACTCCAGCAGTCCAACTACGGGAATAGCCAAAATTTAGAAGATCTTCAAAAGGAGAATGTCTACAGTGGTTGACATTTGATTCGTTGCCTTGGCATACAATATAACCAAGCCAAATAGGTCCAACCCCAGATCCAAAATGAGGTCCTTTGGGAGCCTCAACAGCAGTTCCACATCCCAACTGTCTGCACACCACCTCTGCGGCCTGCAATTCCCAGTCATAGTCGTCCACTGTGCCCCACTCTCCTTGGTGCTTCAACTCCACTCTCCCCTCACAGCGGTGGCCTCCATTTTCCAGCCTTAGCTCCACATCTGCAAGAGAGACAAGACACAGAACACATGACACAGGACAGGTCTTAGAAAGCCAAGCAGTGTATGATGTTAATATTTTAAAATGCACTCTCTGGGGGAAAAAAATCCCCAAAATATATCATTTGGTGATTTCTGTTATGTAAATATTCCCACCATAGCCAATTTTAAGCTGCTAATATGGCATGGAGTTGAAAAGACTCCACAATTGTGTGATTTCTATGGTCTTTTATGTTGATGAGTTAAAAATCAAAGCCCAAACTAACACCCAGATAAGAATCTAACAAAAGACTCAACAATAACTTGAGACACCATTTGAAAAAGACATGGCCTTGCATGGAAAGAGAGTCAGAGTTTGAATCTCTAGATGATCCAGAGAATACCAACACTGCATATGAAGAAAGGTGCTCCACTACTAATAATGCCACAAAAATTATGGAAGAATAAAAACAAAATCCTCTCTAAAAGAAATTACCTTTGTCCTAGGCCTCAGATTATTTCTATGAACAATTTTTATAAAGAAAAGAATTGTTCTTTCAATTGTTGTTTCAATCATTATATGGTTGAAAATTAAAAGATGCATTTAAAAAAACTCCATGAATGAAAAGCAAGAGAAATAACTTAAGCAAATACACAGAGACTACTGATACAAGGTCCATCAGATAGAGGCTATAAAAGAACCACATATACTGGATTTAAAAAATTAAAAAGGAAAATCTGAAAGAACCTTCAAGGAACTAAAGACTTCATGGATCTTTTAACCCAAAAAGAATTTCTATGAATGAAAAATATATTCAATGAAACTAAAATTTTTACATCAGACTAAACACAGGTAAAGGAGAATTGCTAAAGTGAACAAGAAGTCAGAAGAAATTATCTGGAACAATGTGAAGAGATGAAAAGAGATGAAAAACACAGAAGAGACAATCAGAGACATAAAATAAATTAAGGGTCAAAATGAGTTAAATTGAAATATGGCAAGGAAAAGAGGGAGAAAGAGCCAGATAAAAACAGAAAGAAAGAGAAAACTAGGCAAAGGGAAAATTTAAAAAATATTGGCTGAGAATTTCCAGAACAGAAGAAACATACCAATTCATGCAGTGAATAAACCCTGCATAACTCAGGCAACCTTTCTATGTGCTTTTAGAAAGGTCAAAGATATGGGTAACATTACTATTGTTTAGTATATTTCAAGTTCTCTTCTTTTCCCAAACACACAGAAATATTACTGCTTCTAAACTGTTTAAAGTTAAGCACAACCAAATAAAACAAAAAGATACAATATTCCACCCATAAGCAACAAAATATACATTCTTCTGAAGTGTGCACAGAACATTCCCCATGATAGATCATGTGTTGGGTAACAAAAGAAATCTTTACAAATTTGAAAAGTCACAAATTTAAAAAGACTGAAATCCCTTTTCTGATTACAAGGGAGTAAAACTAAAATCACTATCAAAAGGAAAACTAGAATATTTACAAATATATGGATATTAAGCAACAAACTTTGAGCAACCAGTGGTCAAAGAACAAATCAAAAGAAAAGGTAAGACATATCTTGAGACAACTGAAAAATGAAAACACAACATACCAAAACTTATGAGAAGAAGGAAAAGAACTAAGAGGGTAATTTATACCAAGGAATGCCTACATGTAAAAAAGAAGACATATGTCAAATAAACATACTAAATTTTTACCACAAGAAACTAGAAAGACATGAAACTATAAAAACACTAGAAGAGGGTGCAGGGAAAACACTTAAAGAAATTGGTCTGGGCTCAGCGCCTATGGCTCAAGTGGCTAAGGCACCACTCACATACACCTAAGGTGGCGGGTTCGAATCCAGCCTGGGCCTGCCAAAACAACAATGACGGCTGCATAAAGAAAGATGGAGACTTTACGTCCTTCGTGTTCACATGGATGGAGCTGGAAAATGTTCTTCTTAGCAAAATATCACAGGAATGGAAGAAAAAGTATCCAATGTACACATCCCTATTATGAAACTAATTTATACCTTTTATATGAAAGCTATAACCTAATAACAACCTAAGGATATGGGGAGGAGGGAGGGCGGGGGAAGGGGGGAATGGGTGGAGGGAGGGGGATTTGAGGGTCACTTCTGCAGTTTATCTTACAAGGGTACAAGTGAATCTTTTTATGAGTAGAATATGAACGTTTTAACACAATAATAAGAAAATGACATGAAGGCTGTGTTAACCAGTTTGATGGAAGTGTTTCGGATTGTGTGTGAAAACACCACACTCTACCCCAGAAGTGCATTAATGTACACAATTACCATTCAATAAAAAAAAAAAAAAAAAAAAAAACAATGATGGTTGCAACCAAAAAAGTAACCAGGTGTTGCAGTGGGCGCCTGTGGTCCCAGCTACTTGGGAGGCTGAGGCAGGAGACTCGCTTGAGCCCAGGAGTTGGAGGTTGCTATGAGCTGTGATGCCACAGCACTCTACCCAGGGGGATAGCTTGAGGCTCTGTGAAAAAGAAAAAAAAGAAATTGGCCTGGGAGAGTATTTTATGAGGAGGACCCCATGGGCAATTGAAGCAACACCAAAAATACATTACTGACTGCATTAATGTACACAGCTATGATTTAATAAAAAAAAAGAAAAGAAAGAAATACAAGATGAAGAAAAAAAAGAAATAAATAAAAAAATGGGATGTAATTGCTGAAAAGTTTCTACACAACTAAGGGCACAACAACTGAAGCAAAAAGATAATTTTCAGAATGGGAAAATATATTTGCATATTACAAATCTGACAAAGGTTTGATAACTAGGATGTACAAAGAACTCAAATTAAGCAACAAAAAAAGAGGTCTCAATCCCATATATCACTGGACAAGAGACATGAACAGAATCTTCTCTAAAGAAGACAGACAAACAGCTAACAAACATATGAAAAATTGCTCATCATCCCTAATCATCAGAGGAATTTGCAAACCAAAACCACCCTGAGATTTCACCTAACCCCAGTAAGGTCAGCCCACATCACAAAGTCTCAAAGCTGCAGATGGTGGCACAGATGTGGAGAGAAAGGAACACTTTTACACTCTTGGTGAAACTGCAAACTCATACAGCCTCTTTGGAAAGAAGTATGGAGAATCCTGAAAGCACTCAAATTTGATCTCCCGTTTGACCCCACAATCCCACTACTAAGGATCTAACCAGAAGAAAAAAATTATTTTATCATAAGGACATTTATATGAGATTATTTATCACAGCTCAAATTATAATCGCCAAGATGTGGAAACAACCTAAATGCCAATCAGCTCAGGAATGGATTGACTGATTGTGGTATATGCATACCATAGAATACTATTCAGCCATAAAAAAAAGATGGTGACTTTCCATCTTTTGTATTAACCTAGACAGATTTGAAATACATTCCTCTTAGTAAAGTATCATAAGAATGGAAAAGCAGTTATCCAATGTACTCAATACTAATATGAAGCCAGTAGAAGATCTAATGCATGCCCACACAGGAGAAAAACTCATCTCAATAAAAGTTGGGGGCAGGGGTAGCAAGGAAGGGGGAGAGTGAGGGAAAAGTGGGGTGCTCCCACAAATGGGCATGGTGTGGGGGTGTATGGCACACCTTCTGAGAACAGTACATAACTACAAGAGGGACTCTACATAACAAATTCAAATATTTTGACCTGGTTATACCCTCACAGTAACCTGAAATTAAAAAAAAAAAAAAACCAGTTTAGGAAAACGAAAATGTTGATATAAGTGAATGTAACATAAGTATCTGCTGGTAGTAGGAGATGAAGTGCTCTAACATAAATCATGACAAAAATGACAAACGCCTTGAATTAAAAAGGACAAATGTCATGACCAAATGAAGCATTAAATTGATAGAAATAAACTGGTTAGAGTTTAAGAACTTTACAAAAAACTAGGCAGCACCTGTGGATCAGTATATGGGGCTGGCGCCCTACTTACTGATCCACAGGTGCTGCCTAGTTTTTTGTAAAGTTTTTAGCCAGCCCCATATACCGAGGGTGGCAGGTTCAAACCCAGCCCCAGCCAAAGTGCAACAAAAAAATAGCCAGGCTTTGAGGCAGGTGCCTGTAGCCCCAGCTACTCAGGAGGCTGAGGCAAGAGAATCGCCTAAGCCCAGGAGTTGGAGGTTGCTTTGAGCTGTGGCGCTACGGCACTCTATCAAGAGCAGCAAAGTGAGACTCTGTCTCAAAAAAAAAAAAAAAATATGTAAGAACTTAACAAAAAGCCAAGATTGGTGAGGGAATGTTGAAACTAACATTCTCATTCAACATTAAGAGTAATAAAATTTAGTGCAAGCATTTCTGGTAGGCAATTAATATCTATGTATCAAAGGCTTTAAAGGTATTCAAATCAGACTGGACCCGGTGGCTCACAACTATAATCCTCACATTCTAGGAGGCCTAGACAGGCCCATTGCTTGAGCTCAGGAGTTTGAGACCAGCTTGAGCAAGAGCAAGACTCCCTCTTTACTACAAATAATAATTTAAAAAAAAAACTAGCTGAGTGTTGTGGGACCCTGTAGTCCAAGCTACTACTGAGCCCTTGTGTTTGAGATTGCTGTGAGCTATGAAGAGGCCATGGCACTCAACCCAAGGCACAGAGTGAGACTGTATAAAAAACTAAAACAAAACAAAATAAAATAAAATAAAGGTATTCAAATCCTATAAAATAATAGTTCCACATTTAAAATGGTATTATGAGAAATAATCATGACTGGCCCTTGAGTTGTAAAAAGAAGTTCAGAACAACTTTTGTTTTTTTTTAAGACGGAGTCTCACTATGTCACCCATGGTAGAGTGCTATGTCACCACAGCTCACAGCAACCCCAAACTCTTGGGCTTAAGCAACTCTCTTGCCTCAGCCTCCCAAGTAGCTGGGACTACAGGCGCCCACAACACCCGGCTATTTTTGTTGTTGTTGTTGTTGTTGTTGTTGCGGTTGTCATTCTTGGTTAACTGGCATGGGCCGAATTCGAACCCACCACCCTCAGTACACGTGGCTGACACCATAACCACTGTGCTACAGGCACCAAGCCAAGAACAACTTTTTTTTCCTTTGACACAGAGTCTCACTTTGTCACCCTCAGTAGAGTGCTATGGTGTCACAGCTCGCAGCAACCTCCAGTTCCTGGGCTTAAATGATTCTCTTGCTTCAGCCTACCAAGTACCTGGGACTATAGGCGCCCACCACCACGCCTGCCTTTTTTTTGTCTTTGTTGCTGCAGTTGTCATTGCTGTTTTAGCTGACCTGGGCCAGGTTTGAACCCACCACCCTCAGTATATGGGTCCAGCACCTTACCCACCAAGCCTCAGGCACCACCCCAAGAACAAATTTTTCATAATAACAAATACATCAAAACTAAATTCCAAACACTAGTGATTAGATGAGTACATTGAATTTCATCATGTAATGAAATTATGGAGGGAATTAAATTTTTCTTTATTATCCCTGTAATAGTAGTTTTATACTATTGTAATAAAATATTTCAATCTGTAATGTGATAGTTATTAATATAGAAATTGTCCTATATATTACAAATTTTTCAAAACAGATTACAAAATACTATATGCTGAATTATCCAATTTGATGTGGCCTATGTTTTTGTGTAAAATGGAATAAAGTGTATTTGAAGGAATAATTTATCTTCAATACCCATCATGAATTTCACAGTAGAGATTTCTGTAACATGTGTCCAGCTCAGAAATCATGAAATGCTAAGAAATGCCAGGCTGTGGTTTCAAAAGGAACAAAGCCAATATCGTCTGACGTAGAAGAATGAATTTTTATAAGGTAAAACTGAACCATGTTGTTTCAGGGAAAACAAGAATGCTTCTTTCCTTCCTTTTTAAGTAACTATAGAGGAAATTTCCTACATCTTTCCTACAGCAAGATGAAAGGGGCTTGTATGGGAAGACTCACTGTCTCTCACTATCCTGGCATCAAAACCCACCTTGGCCCTTCAGAGCCAGCAAGAGAAGAATCCCCACTAACATTTGGCCAACACCAGAGGACCAGAGCCTTGGTGGGTGCAGCTTCCCAAGGAGAGTTAGGGGACTGAGGGACAGTAGGAGGAAGACAGTAAGCATTGAGAGGAGACAGACTTTCTGCAGCCCAATAAATCCCTGATACCAGCAGTCCTCTGAGTCAAAAGCTCATTGGAAACAAGCTTGCAGGGAGGAAGAGAGGATGCACGAGAGGGAAAATGCACCTCATAGCATTGATATAAGAGCTTAGGGAATGGAAAAGACCCATCCAGACCCTGGAAGTCAGGAAACAATTCACAATGACTAGGGCAGTGACTGAGGAAATAATATAACTGGTGCTCACAGTAAATCTCTATAAATAAGAGGCTCCCCATGGCTGAAGTTCCCCTATTTTGCCAGAGAGTTGGAAGGAATGGGTGCAGCCAGCAGGCAAAGCCTCTCAACACCCAGACCTGAGCAGACACTGCAGTCAGGCAGAGAGGAGGCCACGGACTGAGGAGGAGAGCCCGAGAGAGGCAGGCAGGTGCAGGGTTATCTATGATCTGCTTAGGCCTGACATGAGGGACCTCTGCCTATCTTCAACACCTGGGTTCACACACATAGACCAGCCCCCAGCCCAGCAGTGGGGGCACGGTACACTTCACAGACCAACGGACTCAGTCACTTCTTGGCAGTTCCCCTGACAACAGACAGCCTGACATGCTA